TGAATAAAAATAAAACTACCTGGGAGTCTTTACATTTTATCTGTAGATTATGAACAACTTGTAGAAGGGGCATGGAACAACTTGTAGAAGTAGACAGTAGCAAATGTAAAGGCTCTGATGTACGCACTCAGGAAACTAACATCTGTAATTCCATTGTACATCTGATGCGTGTGTTCCAAGTTTAAATTTATGTTATAGTTTTGAAAGTCAAAAATCACTTCAATCTAGCTCAAAAAAATGCTTCTAGAAGCATTTGAAAGAATATTTCTATTACATACTAGTCAATCATTTTTCTATCTATTACATAATACATAATCACTTTTCTATCTATTACATACTAGTTAATAAGGTTTATTAGAAACTTGGCTCTCCAAGTAAAAATGCCAAGACAAAAATGGTCTGTCAAATTGCTTTTTGCTTTCTTTTTTATTGTTTCATTTTTTTAAAAACTCTGTTACTTTGCTTTCTCTGAGCCATTTTTATGTCTCCTTACAATTTTAGGCTAAACTGTAGCACTTTTGTCAATTACATCATCCCTTTTCATGGACTATGTTTTGTTAAGAAATGGGCAAAGTACATATTAGTTAACTGAGCACAGGATAGACTGGTTGGCGGAATCTCAAAGGTCTAGTCAGGAGGAGGATGGCGTGTGGGGGAAGGAGAAGGAGGCATGGCTGGGAAAAAAGGAAAAGTGGCAAAGACTGCAGAATAAACAATCAGGAACTAAGCAAATAAAAGTGGGTCAACTTAGACTTTGGCTCAGATTTCAGGAACCAAAGACCAAACATGAAGAATATTACTAATCTGCTTTTAAACTTGTATTTTGGAACTTATTTCTACCCAAGAATAATTTTAGTTTGCAATCCTTAGATATTTCAGTTTTACTTTAAAATTACATGCAGGCAAAAGAGTAGCATATGCATTCCCAGGATACGTTTAAACTTAAAATAAGCCAGGCTTCCCTTGGCAGACATCTCACTCTCGTGCCATTGCTGTGGGCATTTTCTCTACCCCTTCTCTTAGCACTCACTGTAACACTTAATCTAACAGATCCGTCCTACCCGGGACTATCTCATCTTCCAGAATCTCTTCGTCCTACTTTTTATCCTCCTCATCATCTATTTTTTAGCCTTCTTCACTAAAATTTTTGCAGGGAATTTGTTGTTACTTACTTACTTACTGTGAACAATACTAATTTTAACTATCCTAAGGCATTTATTCAGTGTATTTATCATTTCATGTAAATTACAGATTGGTTGAATACATGATAATTTCAATATTAACATGAAAAGTATCTTAGGAGGGGAGAAGATATTGAAGACAATTGGGCCATTGTACATCTTTAAATCACACCATATAGGTAAATACCTATGCTACTATCTATGAATATGTGGGGATTTTGTAGAAGACGTGTTTTGTTTTTTCTCTTTATGAGAGAAAGAAGAACAAAAAGATAGAGAGACGTGCCAGAGCTGACATAGGTGAAAGAAACCACCTGAGGGGAAATTCTTACTTATTACACTGAAATTCAAGTATAGAATTTAAGATTATAAAACTCCATCACACATTTCCTGCATTAGACAATGATGTATAACAGTCACATACATCCTTATAGGAGATAATTTGTATCGATTTATAATTAGTGTATATAATATTTACAATTTTATCATTTTTTCTGTATTAGGATTAACTAAAGTTTGAAACCATCTTGTATCTGAAACAATATAATTATAAAGAAAAGAATTATTTGTCTGATTTGAATGGAGTTCCTCAATCATTGATCTATAAAACCTTTTAGGGTCTCAAAGAACTTTTTGGCCTAAATCTTCTGGATTAGAAAATACATCTGCCAAAACAACACAGCCTGTACTTACTTGAACATGTTTCAGTAGCATTTTAATTTATTCACTTTAATCATTCTGGAATTTCTAGACTGTGGTCTAATTTCAGGTAGTACACAATTATTAGACTCTAAATCTAAAAAAAGTCTGCTTGGTCATACTATATTCCAAAAAGTTGACACTATGTGATATAATTTGAGAAACTTATTTTAAACTTTGTCCTGTAAATCTGACCCAATTGTTAGTGGCCCATGGTGACCCCCTGAGTCACACACAGCCTTTGACAACAAGGAGATAATTAATATTCCTACACAACTAGAAATGTGAATGCAGACAAAGCATTGCATTAAAAAAAGTACTACATGGTATGCAATATAATAACAAGGGGAAACAGAAAGCTGAATCTATAAATCATTCCTTTTGGCTACATTCTTCCTTAGTAATCAATAGTGTTTTTTAAAGAATGTTCACTCTTAACAGGGCAGAAGAAACTTATGAAGTGCTAAAATACTATGTCTAGTTTAGTAAGCAGATTGTGATCGTATTCAAACTGTCTTTTCTCAATTTCTCAATTTTGTATTCAGTGTTCAAAGTGAGAAATAAAAACAGAAGCAAATATTGAAGTATATGTGAATTTGTTTTAATGATTAAGGCTACTCTGTTGAGTAAAAATTATCTTAGAAATGGTAGACTGATAGAATTGTTGACATCTGAAACTAGTTTAGTTTCAGAGACTATTTGGCAAACAAGAAACAAAATAAGAGTTTTATATCTACTGAAAATTCATGAGATTTTTCTCTACAGGCTTATACATTGTATGTGATTTTACGAAAATTATGAGCCTGACCTAAGCATTGCCTTAAATACTAAAATTGTACTTTATCTGTTAAGAAATAGCCAACTTGATATCATTTTTACTATAACATATATAGTTTTGATGCTTCATTCATCATCAGATGCTGATACATTTAAACATATATTGTTGAAAAATAAAATTCAAGTGAAAAAGTCAGCAATAATCAGTTACATAAATGAGTTTAAATCATTATTGTTTAATTATCGCATATACTTTGTTACACACTATTTTAAAAATTTAAATTCCACTTTGCAATAAAATTGAAACAGTTCCATTAAAATTGCCATTCATTCTTGATTTTCAAAAATTATAAATAAAACAAATCTCTCTTATATGACGTGTTATCTACATAAAATCTGAGCAAACAGTATGTAAATAATTTAAAAGCATTTCTATAAGCCGGGCTCAGCCTGTAATCCCAGCACTTTGGGAGGCCAAGGTGAGAGGACTGCCTGAGCCCAGAGGGTCGAGACCAGCCTGAACAACTTGGTGAGACTTCATCTCTACAATAAATCACACACACAAAAACAAAAACAACAACAACAAAAACTAGCCGGTATGGTGGCGTGTGTCTGTAGTTCCAGCTACTTGGAAGGCTGAGGCGGAAGGATCACCTAAACCCAACAGGTCAAGGCTGCAGTGGCTGTGAGCGTGCCACTGCAGTCCAGCCTGGGTGACAAGTGAGACTCCACCTCAAAGAAAAAAAATTTCTATAGAGTAAAAAAAGACAAAAACATGTATACAAAGAAACAGAAAAATAGAAAAAGATGTTTGTTATAATTGGTAACATTGGCATTGTTCTGGAACTCTTTGGCAATACAAAATTGTTTTATTTTAAAATACTATTTGTATTACTTATGTGCAAGAAAATGATTATCTTCTTTATTTAAAAGGTGGCTGAATATAAAGCTTATAAGCTTAAAAAATCAAGCAATAACATATTAGAAAATATAACTGAAAAGACTCAATATTTCCAAAAGTTTTAGACATATTTCAATAAGTTTTCAAACATTACTAAGGGCTATAACTATAAAAACATATCTGCCTTTACTTTCTAGACTGAAAGACTCACAGTCAGAGAGTTCATGTTATGTGCTAATATTCTTCAGTTCCTAGAGTCTATGTACTAGGCACTCAGTCAAAATTTGTTAACTAAGTGAAAAGATTTGGGAAACCATGAATAATGTGTGATTCATTTGCTTTAAAAATGTTGATCAAATATCTATCACATAACTGGTTATCCATCATGAACTACAAATGCAAATCTTTCCCAACAATAAATGATTTAGTCTATTGAAAAGCAGTGATAGAATGAATTTACTTGCAAATCCAGAAGTTGTCTTACTGATATCAGAAAAAAAACCTCCTATACTCATATTCAGTATTTCAAACAGACGTTGATAATGTCTTACATACAACTACAAAAAAATTGTTGAACAACTTAGATTTTACAAAAATTGTATAATCAACTGTGATTCAAATTTATGTAATATTTTTACTCCAATAATACACGACTTTTTTTTTTGAGTTGGAGTCTCACTCTGTCGCCCAGACTGGAGTGCAGTGGCCGCTCCCGGCCACCGCAGCCTCGACCCGCTGGGCTCCGGCGATCCTTCCGCCTCAGCCTTCCCAGTAGCCGGAACTACAGGCATGCGCCACCACACCCTGCTGACTTTTTGATTTATTGTAGAGATGAGGTCTCGCTGCCCAGGCGGGTCTCGAACCCACGGGCTCAGGCAATCCACTCACCTCAGCCTCCCAAAGGCGCAAGATTACAGGCTGAGCCACCGAGCCCGGCTAATACACGACTTTTATAAGACTTTTAAGGTCATGGCAATATCAGTTGTAAATGATGAGTTTTTTCTTAAGGAAGATTTAAAGTTATAACTGAAATAAATTTAATCATTATATAATTTGAAGGTTTTTATTGACTATGTATATTCACATACTTCTTAATACTTTCACACAAAGCATTTTGGTGAAACTTCTAAGCAAAAAAGTAAATTATATTTTATGATAATAACCAGGAAATTATTATTCCAGATTACAGTTTTTAGAAGCATTTAAAGTATTTTCTGCAATTTTATATTAAACAAAATTACATAAATAATCAGATATATCACATAAAGTACTTATATTTATAAAACTTAACAATGTTAAAAGTTACTTAAATGTCAAGCTACAGAATAGTAATTAAAAAAAATTTTCTAAACCAAATTCTTAATACCACTTTGAAAAACACCATTAGCAAATGTTTCAAAATATAGTCAGTTATAAGAAGAGTCTTTCTCTTTTAATCTTACCTTCTGCTACACAAAAAGACCATAACATAAGCCAAATAATCTTTGCTGGAAGTTTCATTTTTTTTAGCTTTTGGGAGTACATTTACTAGCTAATACTGCTCACACCGTCCAGCTCTCCTCCTCTAAGAACTGTGATTAGTGCGGTAAAGTTCCTGTTGCAAAAGAAAGTTGAAACTAGACGCTCCGCCCACCAGACTCTTTTGCAAAGTAGATGAAAAAAACCAACCACAAGCCCCAGCAAGGCCTGAGTTTGAACTCAATTTTCATTGCATTCCCACTGAATGTTAATACCATGACCTGCACTTGGAATTTTTCTTATAAACCAAGGCAAGTTATCCGTTGGAACATGTTCAGGTTCTTGGAATGTGCAAAACAGCAGCTGGTAACGTCCCCTGGATTGCATAAACTTTCCAATTATTCAACTCAATTTAGGTCTATTGTGTATAAACTTCAGAACTGGAAATAGCAGATACTTTAAAAATAATTCAAAAATCAAGAAATTAAAAAGCTTATGTTTAAAACTTTACTATATTGAAGTATAATATGCTTAAAGAAAACATTGGAAAAAAGTTTGCTGAATATTGAGAAGGTGAAAACACTTATGCAACCACCACCAACGTCAAAACAGTAAACATCACTGTATCTCAGAAAACTCCAGTATTCCTTTTCAGTCAATACTCCCCTCAACTCCTCGCTCACCCCTCACATGCAGTGACTTATCTGATCTCTGAGAACATGTAATATATTTGCATGGTTTTTGCACTTTATGTAGATTAAGAAGAGGCAATTTACTTTTGTGGTTAGAGTCCTTCACTAAAAATTGTGTTTGGAGCATTCAACTATGCTATTGGTTGTAGCTATAGATTGTTATGTCTTAACGCTGTATAATATTCTGTTTTTGAATAGTGCACACGTTATTTATCTGTGTGCTTGTTAATGAGCATTTGATTAGATTCCAGTTTGAAGCTAATATGACTATTGTTGTTATGAGCATTATATACGTGGTTTTTGGTAAACATATTTCTGTATTTCTGATAAGTATATACCTAAGAGTGGAATATTAGAATGTAGCTATGTTTAGGTGTAATAGATACCATTAGATAGCTTTCCAAACGGATTTTAACAATTGACATTTCTATCAGCAGTGTATGAGTCGCTGCACATCTGCAATGACACCTGATAATTTCAATCTTTGTAATCTTAGCTTTTCTGGTGGCACAGACCAATAATTCTCTTTGGTTTTCATTTAAATTTTCCTGGTAACTAACAAAGTTGAACTACTTTCACACAGTAATTTTCATTTGGTTATATTCTTTGGTAACGTGTCAATTGAAGTTTTTTGTATATTTCTTTTATTGAGTTGGTCATTACTTATAGAATTGCAGGAATTGTGTATATTATAGATATGAGAACATTCTTATACATATTTAGTAAATACCTTCTTTCAGTTTGTGTTGTCTTTTCACTCACTGTTACATTTAATAAACAGAATTTCTTAATTTTATTTACTTTTAAGGATTTATTTGTTTATTTTACTTTTTTTTATTTTAAAGATGTGGGGTACAATTCAGGATTAGGTACGTAAGTGGTCATCCTACATGTGAAGTTTGGCCCTCCCACTGAGGCTCACTTCACCTGGTTTGGGATTTAATTTTAACATAGAGCAAATTTTCAAATTATTCTTCCATGACTAGTGCATTTTGTGTCCTGTTTAATGAACACTTGCTTACTACAAGGACTCAATGCTTATCTTCTAAGTTATTTTCTCTTTCACATTTAAGGCCTTAAAAAATTTCTTCTGAAGTGTACATTTCTGGAAACTTCAGCTTTCTATTTTTCTTTTTTAATTGATGTCTTTTTAAATTGAATTATGATCAGAGGACATACTTTAAATAATTACACAATTTCAAAATTTTATGACACTTTCTTTATGGCCCGTTAAGGTCAATATTCTACCTATGTCAGTAGTTCAAGTTTGTAATTCCTTTGTTTAAATCTTTTATATTTGTATTATGTTTTTGTCTAATTTTTCTATCAGCTATTGAAAGTGTGTATTAAACCTCCCATTATGAATTCAGATTTCTATATTTCTGTTTAACGCTGTCAGTCTTTATATTTTAAAGCTATAATTATAGCATACATAGTGAGAATTTTGATATCCATCTCTTGATTTGTTCCTTTTATCATATGAGCGCTCCTTCTTATCTCCAATTTTGACTCCTGTGTGATTTAAAATGTTTATTTTTATTTTTTTGCTGTGTATTCAAAAAAGGAGTCAGAATTAGTCTTTTATTCTGAGAAAAGTAAGAAATTAAATAGCTTATGTGAAAAATCAAGCAAATATGAATTCTGAATTACCATTCTAAAGTTTTAATTTGATTGTATGCTGACATCATAGACTTTAAACTTCTTTATTCCTGTCTTAGTTTCATCTGTCTGATAATGAATCCAACTATGTGGTTTGAATTTCCAATCGTGTTTTTTGTTTCGTTTGTATTATTTTTTTTATCCAACAGCAATTCTAACTTAATGTGTGGCAAGTGTTTCATAAAGTTACTAAGATTAATATTATATGAGTGTGAATTATATACCAGGTACAGATCTAAGCACATTTACTCAATAATTATGACATTACAATGAAACAGGAGACCATGGCTATCTCAAATGTATAGATGAATGAACTGAGCCACAGAACATTTAAGAGCATTTAAGCAACTCCCTCAAGGTCACAAGACACTGCTAGAGCCTTGTATCAAAACCAGTGACCTGATTCCCAGAATCTTACTTTTAACCTTCACAGGTCTGCCTTTCAAGTAGTTTGCATACCATGCTGTTAACATTTATATAAGTTCAACTGCCAATAACTCATTTATGTTTAAAAATATAGTAAACTGCCAGGCTCAGTGGCTCAGCCTGTAATACCGTGCCTTTGGGAGGCTGAGGTGAGTGGATTGCCTGAGCCCGCCGGTTCGAGACCCGCCTGGGCAGCGAGACCTCATCTCTACAATAAATCAAAAAATCAGCCGGGCGTGGTAGCGCACGCCTGTAATTCCGGCTACTGGGAAGGCTGAGGCGGAAGGATCGCCGGAGCCCGGCGGGTCGAGGCTGCGGTGGCCGGGAGCGGCCGCTGCACTCCAGTCTGGGCGACAGAGTGAGACTCCAACTCAAAAAAAAAAGATTCAAGACTCCTTATTTGAACAGACACTAACTATTAAGGACATAAAAGGGTCCCTAGGGATATTTCTGCATGATCATATATTCTTGTTAAAATTGAAAGTATGTCTTAATTGCAAGATAATTATCGTCTTATTCTGCTCTGATTTCCCCTTCTTAACATTCCACCAAATCAGTTGATTTTAAACAGTGAGGCTTTTGAAGGTTGCAACATGAAATCACATAGAATATTAGTTTGAGATTAGTGCTGTATATTTCGCAGGCACAGTTGTATACAATCTGGTTACTGACAGTTCTGCAAGCACATGAATGGCTTCTAGGAATACTCCTACAACCCCTTTGCCAAATTAATCGACATTATTACATAAAAATTCATGATTCAAAGACGTAGCACATGCAAATGTGTTGCCTGACGCAAGAAGAGTCTATCGTTATTGAATGAGAAGCAATATTTAAAAATACGGAGACAATAATCAGATATGTAAAATTTTAAGTAATGGTTTAATTCTCATTGATGCCTAGTATGAAAACTTGCTCATATTATGCATATTTTGACATCAATAAAGACACCATACAATTAAAGCGTACTTAAAGTATTGAGAACAAACTTGTTTACAATGTCTTGATTCAAAGAGCATTTCACATTAATCATATCAAAAGAACTATTTTGCAGTTCCTAAAATCTTGCGGTTCATTATGTCAGTTTGACATGATTTTTTTTCACAATTTGACAATCCAAAAAAGTATAGACATGAGTAGTGAAACTGAAATGACTTCAAATATTTCAATAACAATTAACAAATTTAAATCAAGCATGCTGGAGAGAAGACCAAATTATTATTCTATTTATCTACACTTAAAGTACTATAAGGTGGTGTCATATGAAGAAATAAATGAGTATTCGGTCAAAATTGTAAAAGCTAAATGTATCGGAGACATTATCAGACAATTAATATACATATTATACTATGTTTCTATGTTATCTCATTGTGGATTTAATTTGCACTTCCCTAATGATTAGCAATGTTGAGAATTTTTTATGAACCTGCTGGTCATTTGTATGTCTCCTTTTGAGAAATGTCTATTCAGGTCCTTTGCCCATTTTAAAATTAGGTTATGGTTTTATTGGAGTTCCTTATTTATGTTGGATACTAATCTCTTATTAACTGTACAGTTTGAAAATATTCTCTCCAATTCCATGACTGTCTCTTCATTCCATTCATTGCTTCCATTCTTGTACAGTAACTTTTTGGTTGGATGGATTCCCATTTGTCTATTGTTACGTTTGTTGCCTGTGTTTTCAGAATCATATTTTTAAAAACAGCTTTCAATGTTGTCGGGCTTTTACTCTATGTTTTCTTGTACTGCTTTACGGTTTCAGGTTTTAAGTCCTCAAAACATTTTAAGTTGACCTTTGTATATTGTGTGAGATAAAGACACAATTCTTCTACAAATAGGTATCGAATTTTTCCAGCATCATTTACTGAGGATGCTGTCCTTTTTTCATGCATTTTTGCAAGCTTGTTGAAAACGATGGGCTGTACATGCATGGGTTTTCTTCGGTGGGGGAGGCTTTCTACCCTATTTTATTTGATTATGTTTATCTATTTTTATGCCAGTATCATTCTGTTTTGATTATAATTGCTTTGTAATAAACTTTGAATCAAGGAGTATGATGTCTCCAGTTTTGTAGTTTTGTTTTGTTTTTTCAGCTCAAAATTGTTTTGGTTATTTGGGGACTTTTGTGGTTTCATATGAATTTTAAGATTTTTTTTCTCTCTTTTTTAAATTTTCTTATTTTTAGCAGGTTTTTATTTTTCTGAATTTTTAAAATTTTGATTTAAAATTGTGGGGTACAATTCATGATTAAGTATACAAATATTCATTGTACAGGTACCCTTGTTGATGAGATGTGCCCCCACTTCTCCAGGCAGATTCCCACTACTGCCAACCCCACCTTCCTGCCCCCTCCCTGTTTCCCACTACTGTCATTCCTTTTCTTATG